AGGGTGTGGGTGTGGATATCCTCGGTTTAACCGCAACTATACCCACACCCACACCCACACCCACACCCACACCATTTTATTAATAAATCAGCTAATGCTTCTCCAGTCATTGTAGCTGTACGTTCAAATCCAATAATTTTTTCGAAAACATTGAATTTCTCATCGACAAATCGTATAACTAATGAAACTTGTTCATGACAAGCAATATCTTTTGTTTCATCAATCATTACGGAAAAATATTTTGCACGACGACGTTCATTTAAAATTCCGGTTAAAATTTGTTCTTGAAGTAATTCAATTATTTCGTTTTGAATTTTATGATCAGTAAGTTTTAATCTATGTAGATTTTTTTAATTAAATCATTATCTAAACTTCTCAATTCAAGAAGTTGGAGAAAATTTTCCCTATTAGAAGATTGACCATGTTCTCGATGACTTCTAACTGAAATATACACAAAAAACATGATCAAAAATTCGTATAATATACAAATAAGAAAGAAAAAAAGGTAATGTTTGAACAACTTACATGCTATACCTTGTTTACCCAAAAAAACAATTGTTCTTATTATTTCAACCAGATATGCTCGATTTTCTGCAGCTTGTTTCTTGTGTTGCTTGTCTATTAATTTCAACACATCACTATTATTATTATAGTTTTTTTTCAAATCTATCCATGTTTGTAATGCTTGCTTGTGCGTAACTGAAGATTGATGATTGTTCAATCTAGTAATTGCATTTTTCCACGAATTAAAACCACTTACAGTAAACCAACTATCAATTTTTCCACTACCATATAACATACGACACACATAGCAAAAAGCACGATCAATCTTTGGACTGTATTCTAACCAGGAATAAATGGAATACCACTGTCGACAAAAATGACGATTTTGAACTGAAGGAAATTTAAAATCAGGTTGATATGGTCCAAGAAAAACGAATTGTTTGGCTGCTGCTGGACCAAGACAAGGATCTTGTTCATTAGATGGCAATAATGATGTTGATGATGGTGAATTTATTGGTGATACTAAAGGTGCTGTTGGTGTTGAACAAGTTGACATGAATGATGGTGAATTTATTGGTGGTGCTAAAGGTGTCGTTGTTTGTGAACTAGTTGATGTTGATGATCTTATTGATGATGATAAAGCTGTTGTTGGTGCTAGTGAACATGCTGATATGGTTAAAAGTGCTAAAGCTCTTGCACCCGTTGGTGATGATATATGTCCTGATTTTGACGACTGTGTTGATGTTACTTGTGGTGAAGCTTTAGATAATATTGAATGTGGTGATGATGGTTGTGAAGATACAGATATTGTTAAAGACTCTAATGCTCTTGAACATTGTTGGTGATGCTGATGTTGATGAATCTTTATCTTCAGATAACTTGAAGCGTTTAAACGAAGTTGATTCAATCTCAATTTCTTCTTTTTCTTGTTCATCTGTTGATACAGCAGGCTCTATTATTGATTCATTATTAACATTTCTCTTGGTTCTTCTGAAATATTTTGTCAAAACGTTATTTATTTTTGACATTTAATAATCTCGTACTTTTAAATCTGAAATATCACAAAAAACGTACATCAGAAGATAGAATTTTTGTAATTCTATTTGACTTTTTTTTGTCAGTAACATTGAACAAGTACATAAATGATCATGTACAATATTTTGTTTGATAAAATAGTTTACTTTCTAGATCTGACCAGTTATTTAACAGAGGAAAATAAAAAATAAAGTAATCGTATACACATACAAAAGCAAAATTAGTTGATTCGAATTTTTTCGAATGAGAGATTTTATTGATCATTAATTGAATTCTATCTGAACGAATATTAATGATTCGCTACTGGGTGTCGCTGATGTACAGATACTTTCACTAATTGTGTATATTTTGATTCGCCTACAGAAGTCAATAAATAAACGAGTAAATATTGGGTTTAAAATTTTTTTTGAGTGGGGCAATTGCCACCAATCGCCTCGTGGCGGCCCGCCACTGGATACAACCGATTATTTGCCACACAGCTTTTTTTTTTCTTTATTTTTTTTCTTGTTCTAAAGCACTATAAAAACTGTTGTGATTCATATGAAATAACACTTGATAGGAGTGTGTTCGGTGTCGCAATTTTTTTATTTTCTATCCCCGAAGAACAGTCTCAATATTGATTAATAAAACCATTGGAAAAAAGAAGCAAAGCATCGTAATTTGTTCAATTTTAATGGGTCAAAAATCTACTCATCTAGATAATAACATACAAGAAGAAGAATTCTCGATTCCATTATGGAAATATAATAGAGAAAAAAAAAGATGGTCACAAAAACAACTTGATCAAAATAATTCAACAATACATTTGGAGAAATTTCGTGTTGTTACATATAATGTTTGGTTTTCCGGTGAATATCAATCGATGCGTTTTAAAAGTCTCTGTGATATATTAAACAAATCTCAAGCTCAAATAATTGGTTTACAAGAAAGTTTGTTGTCTTTTCTTATACGTATTCTAATAAAAAAAAATTTGATTTTCATGTATATATAAATAGTGACAAAAAAAAATCTTCAACAACTTTCAGCTCAATCATTTATTCAAGAACGATATTATTTATCTGATGTCGATGGTCGTACATTCAATACTTGGTATGGCGTTGTTTTATTAATTGATATTCGACTTCATATTTCTGATATTAATTTGATTGATTTTCCTCAATCAACAATGGGTCGTCGTTTAATACTTGCAGAAATAAAATTAGATCAAGACGAAACTGTTCGTATTGGTACTGTTCATTTAGAATCTGTGAATAATAAAGAACAACGATCATGTCAATTAGATATATGTCAAACAGAATTTCATCATTCTCCAGGTAGTTACATTTTAATGGGAGATTTTAATTTTAATGCAAATGGTCAAGAAAATCTCGATCAATTTAATAGATTACCAGATTGGATTGATGTTTGGACTTATTTAATGGGTTCTGATAATCATGGCTACACTTTTGATACAGCAACAAATTTAATGACAAAATTTCATTGTGGAACATCAAATCAATCAAGATATGATCGAATTATTTGCTCAAGTCAAACAATTATTCCTACTGATATTCAAATTATAGGAAATCAAAGTATCGGTAATCAAAAACACTTACCTGTGTTTCCATCAGATCATTTTGGTTTGACAGGAGTGTTTGAAAAGAAAAAAATAAACATGTGATTTATACAGAAAACAAAACTACAGATGAACAGATAACAATTATTAAGACTAATCTATATATAAGATTTTTATTTCATTATGTATTCTAATCCAGACTTTTTTCTGTAGCATTCATGTTTATTTTCAAACAAGTCTTCTTGAACTTGCTTCAATGAATAAGGATTTTATAAATGCAAACAGAAGTACACATTAGAAGTGGTATCATCGCTTGAAACCATCATTACTTTTATACAATAAGTGTGAATGTATAGTGTCGTAACAAGGGTACGACCAGGGTACTGGGTGAAATTTCTCAATCAAAGAGCTAAACTATGGTTAGTTACACAAATCTTTTTTCACAATTGAAATAACTACCGAATAGCATCACTAGGTTTCTATTATCGAGAGAACAAGTTTATTTGAACACTAACTGCTCACTGGACCTAATTTTTGAAAAATAATTGATTCATAGA